TCTGTGTGCCACAGTGCTGGTTTGGAGACTGATACCCTCCACAAGGGTTTTGGCAGAGTTCTAGTCTTCACTATTGTAAACCCAAATATCGAGTTCAGTCATCCAAGTTTTGTAATCCTCTTTCTAGTTTTCCTCACAATCCAAAAAGTTATATTTATAATCCCATTGAGATGTCATTGGAATCCCAGTAAGTTAATTCTACCACCACCAATGCAACCCACAGCGAGAGTAAAAACACCAAGACATATTCCAAGTTGCCGTGTGGACATGCAGACACACGCCTTCATCCTAGGCCTCTCCCAGAATTTATTATCTTGTGAAGAAGGGGGGTGGCTCAGGGATAAGTGACAGTGAGGATGGCGGGAATTACATGAGTAACTTCAGCTGGTTGGCCAGGTGCAAGATTGGCATCTCTGTAAACTGTAGAGATAAAGATAAGCAGAAGGGTCAATTTACATAATCCAATTAAGATAGCCATGGAATTGTTCTGGGGGGCTATTGCTTTGGTTCCTGATATGCAAACTCTTGTGCCCTGGGGAGTCATAGCCTCTTATCTTGAGGCTGTACCCACATGACATTCCCAGAGCTATTTACTCTAACATTCCAGAGTGCTCATATCCTGTACACATCTGTATTGTACAGAGAACACTATTTGAGGAAACAGAACTGTCTATTCTATTGGCTAGAGATTACATATTAGCACCTCAGCTAGCCTTATTTGCAATGCTAGAGCCAATTGAAGAGAGAAGGAAATACCCTAGCCAGTTTTTTTGCGTATCAGTATAAGGAAATGAGTTTCCAAATAATCAAAGTCACAGTAATTGTTTTGGATTCAAAGGGAGTCACTGGACTTGTCTCCCACATTCACTATTGTCATTGGACATTTGTCTCATTTCTTCTAGCCTTCTAGTACAGAATCGTCAGTCTTCCAAAGCAGATCCTTTGGCTTTCCCACACAGACTCACTTAGTCTATCCAATGAGCTCCAAGCCTTTGATCTTTGACTAGCTCCTCTAGCCCTCCAGAACACACTTGGCCATTGTGCATCTTCTACCCAATTCTGAAGTGGTCACTGTACGTATACATAGTAAATCCTTTGTATAATCCTGTGAATATACTTTATATTAAATCTGCATCTCTAATGAAGCCTAATCATACATGAGGTCAGTGAAGAGCCTAAAATAAGGCCAATGAGGGTGGAAAGGAAGGGATGATTATGCAAGAGGTGATGCCCAAGAAATGATTACTATTTGGACATACACAGCAAAAAAGAGAAATTTAGGATTACTCCTGGTTTGAATAGTTGAATAGATGATCATGATACAATTCACAGAAATTGGGAATGAAGTAAAAAAATCAGGTTTGGAGAGAAAATGTAGTCCACTTTAAAGTGTGTTTGTTGTATTTGAGGTGTGCATTCTGTTCTGCGTGTGTATGTTTCCTTGTGCTTATAGTATTCATTACCCTTTCTTTCTGAAACAATACATGATTTGCTCTTTCCAACTGTTGCTTCTTACAGTTGGGTATGAGCTACTCAGCTCTGAGAGAACCCTAAATCTAGAAGAGGCAAGAACACAGGTCAGGCCTAAATTAATCAGCGCCCTGTGTCCTTCTGCATATAGTGACTGGCCTTGGGGTGGTCACATGAGCTAAGACTGTCAGGACCTTTGCTGAAAATTTTATGACAGAGAGAATCCCCTTCCCCAGTGGATTCTAACCTGAGAGACTATAGACCTAGAAATGTTGATCACTATCTTAAAACCACAAGAAAGGGAACTGAGAATGTAGCCAAGCCTGAAGAAACAGAGCCAAGGAATTTAGAGAAAGATACCAACTCCTGGAACTTCAGCAAAGGCTCAACTTATCTCTGGCTTCCTCAGTTACATGAGTCTCTCTCTCTCTTGTCTCTCTGTCTCTGTCTCTGATCTTTTTGAGACAGGTTTTCACTATGCAGATCAGGCTGCTCTTTAACTCACTTTGTACCCCAGATTGGCCTCAAGCTCACGATAATCCTCTTGCCTCAGCCTCCTCAGTGCTGGGATTACAGGCTTGTGCCACCACGCCTGGTTTACACTGAATATTCTTTCCCTTGCAATAATAGGAATCCTAACTGTGGGACACCCATGCACAGATGCTAAATTAAACAGATGAGCTGGGAGTCGTAGACATTTGAGCCTACGATGCAAAACTGTCACTCAAGTCACAACTTTGGAAGTTATCCAGGAGAAATGAGCAGAGAAGAATTTCCTGAAGTAGGGTCCAGAGATTGGGGGATGCATCAAAATCATCTTGGGGAGGGGTTTTGAATTAGAAATAAAGATAGTACACATGTGGACTTCTTTGAAAAGTTAACCAAATGAGCCGGGTGTGGTGTGGTGCACTCCTGTAATCCTAGCATTTGGGAGGCTGAGGCAGTAGAACTGTTTGCAAATTTGAGAACAGCCTGGGCTATAAAGTGAGCACAAGGCCAGCCTGAACTACATGGCAAGGACTCTGTCTCAAAAAAAAAAAAAAAAAGTTAACCAAGTGATGGGGAGAAAAGGTAGGATTTATGGGTCAGGGAGGGTATCTTTGTAACCAGTTAATTTCTATGATGGCAGTATGCTCACTCTCCTTTGCTAAGTCTTCTTGTTGGCTCCCAGGGTTTTCTGCTTCTGTTTCTCAAGCCAAGTGTTCTCTCTAGATTCAAATAACAAATGCCTTCTGGCCATTACCAACTGGACCTCAGTCATAGTATAAGGTCTGTGGCCCCCAGGCCTCGTGCCTTTGCATTATGCATTTGTGATTGGTTCATTGTCTAGTGCTTGGATTGATGGTGTCAGTGCTACATCCACCTAGGGATGGAGCCAGGATGTGATATAATGGCAGGAAGAAGGTGTGTCTTGCTCTCTTGCCGGTTTTTGCCATGCTGTTTGCAGCCACCATGAACTGCAGCCCTGCCATGCCACCCGGCCTTGTAGCCAACTGCGTATGGACTGAAACCTCCAAAAACTGTAAGGAATAAACTTTTCCTTTCCCAATTTTGAAATTTTTTTTTTTTTCTTTTCTTTTTTATTGGTACCGGGGATGGAACTCACGACCGCCTGCTTGCAAGGCAGGTACTTATGCCACTGAGCTAAATCCCCAGCCCCTCCTTTCCCAATTTTGGTCATCAGGTTTTTGTCTCAGCAACAAGTAAAAAGTAACTAAGACAACCTCCTAACAGTGCCGCCAACACAATATGTCATCCTGGAGTCTCTCTACTACTCACCTTCCTTATAGGAGGCAGTCCATAGGGCTTTGGTATTTGAATCTTGAGTTAGAAGGTTGGCCCTGATTTGTTACTCCTCCCCTTCTCTTTCTCTCTTCACCCCTGCATCCCTCGCTCCCAACAGGCACCTGTTATATACTGTACCCTAGACTGACCTCAAACTTGTGATCCTCCTGCCTCAGGCTCTTGAGTCGCTGGAATTATAGGAGAATGCTATCACTGTGTTTGTCAATACTTCAGAGTACCAAGAAGTAAAGATTTTCCAGTTGGTTCTCTTCAGTTCTGCTATCTTAAAGTGAGGGCCAGTGATTCCTTGGTGGAGTGGCAAACAGTATACCTCTATAACTGGTGTAACTTCAGATACCTGACATTTTTCCATCTCTTCTTCAGTGTACTTTGAGTTAATAACTTTTTTTTCATAAGGCAATGAGGTGTGCCAACTGTGTGCCATCCTGCAGGGTGGAGACTGATATCCTCCACAGGGGTTTTTGTAGAGTTCCAGTCTTCACTATTACCTCTGGAATATGGAGTTTTATTGGTTGCAGTTTTTTTCCTTCTTGTGCCGACAATGAATTAAGGAACTCAGATATCTAAAAGCTACAGTTCCACTTGAAAAATCTGGGACTTGCTAGCCTGAGGCACTGACCTTGTTGCTGGAATATCATGGTCAAAAGTAGCTCTGAAATGGTTTTATCTGTTCCATTTATTTATGCAGGAATAAACTGTAATACAGAGAGACTGTTGCTAGTTAAAACTCATAGATGAATAAGAAGCCAGAGGTTACCTACAAACATGTTTCCCCTGAATTTCCCTGGTGGGACTATATACTGGTAAAAAATCTGTTTTTCTTTTTTGTTGTCTGACACTCGGCTCAGCCTTCTCACCTCTCCAAGAAAGCTTCCTGCTGCTTTATCAGTGTTCAGAAAATTGAGCCAGGTGGCACTTGCCAATAATCCCAACACTCATGAAGCTGAGGTAGGAGCTGATCTTGAGTTTGAGGCCATTGTGGGCTATTCCATCAAAAAACCAAAAACCAAACCAAAAGAAACAAGTGTAAGCTGGCTGATGCTGGCTTAAACCAAACCTAAGTAAGGAAATCCACAGCCAAGCATGAGGATCTTGATTTGAGTGGGCTCCTTTTGATTCCTTGGCCAACCCAGCTCCTTCTCACCTGATGATGTTGCTCTGCCTGAAGTGCCTGCTTCATTCTCTCCAATGTTTGCCCCTTCTGTCTCTCAGATTGCTGCAGACATCATCTCCCAGAACAGTGCCCTCCCCCAGCATTCTGCAATACATCTGTAACACCTTTCCTTCCCAGGGGTCTGCTTCACTGATAGTCCTGTTTCCTGGTTTGCTTATTTGTTCCTTAGGTTCTCCCCAGCTAGTGAAGCAGCATCTTCAGTCTTGCTGACTGCCTCCTCCCGACCTATGGCAGAGGTGGAGAGGCGTTTAATGATGAATGATGTGAATAAGTGTCATTGTTCAGCAGTCTGGATATGATTCTGGTTGTATTGTTAGTCCCAATTTTTTTTTTTATTAAAAATTTTTTCTTTTTTTCATTTTTATCGGTATCAGGGATCGAACTCACGACCGCCTGCTTGCAAGGCAGGTGCTTATGCCGCTGAGCTAAACCCCTAGCCCCGTTAGTCCCAATTATGTGTTCACGTTAAGAGGTCTCTTTGCTGTGTCCTTCATGCTTCCTCCCACACGCCACCCTCCTTTGCACAAATTTTCTAATTCTTTAGTGTATGTTTTTGTTTTTTTTGGTTTTTATTTTTAAAATCTGGTTTTATTACTTCCAGTAGAAATGGGCTACATGGGGTGGTGAGTGGGCTGCGCTCAGCGTCTGTGTGGACTGGGAGAGGATACTTGAGTGCCTGGCAGGGGGAAGGTGTGAGGCCAGCCTCAGGGGGCTTCAGTGACGCTTCTGGGCCAACAGGAAGGAGTCATGGCAAGCTGTGGCCAAGCCACCAATAAGGTTAAGGAATTCTTGGAAATCTAGCTGTCCATCACTGTCGAGGTCCAGTTTCTTCATCATGCGGTCAAGGACACCGGGGTCCTTCTGGTTCTGCAAAGAAAATAAGACCTTTATATCGCACTTCTAAGGTGCTTTGAAATATGCTGCCACATTTATTCTCAGAGAAAGGCACAGAAAGGTTGTTTGCTCCTGGTCTTTCTGCAACACTAGGTATTATTCAAGTTCAAAAGCTCAGTGGAATGCTTCTTTCAGGTGTCATATGTGATTCCAATAGGTAAATCAGGTACAAGTGGAGTGATTTCAGTTATAAAGAGGGCGCAGGCCCTGCCTGATTAGCTGCACCCTCCACTCATCTGAACCTCCAACACATTTATAGCCAATGGAGACATGTGGGTGGTTTAGAAAGCCATTCCCTTAGACGGTGCTAGTCCTGGTTCAAGTGCTCAGTAGGCTAATTAGTTGGTGTGACTACCCAGTAGGTGGTGCCTACCCTGTCATGCAGTGCAGGTATAGACCACTGTCCTACTCCAGAGCCTCACCAGACAGGACCTTCCTAGAGCTTTTGGGATGAAGGAATAATGCCATTTCATATACCTCTTCCCATACATGGAGAAAATAAGTCTCCATTCCCTGTGTTAGGCAGTTTGTACACTAGGATCTTTAAAACACTTCCTACTTCAGAGAATAGACTTTAATAATCACGCATCGCTCACCCTGATGCCCAGAGGCTCAGTGTGGCTGTATGCAGACTGCCTGCCTCACAGGGTGTGAGAAGTCAGCTGCTAGTGCACTTTCCATTCCCTGGGTTTTGTTTCATGTTGTGGGCGGTTTGCAGTGTGGGGCTAGAGCCATACCTTTGTAAAAGCACCCAGTTCTTTGTTCATGAATGTTAGGAACTCTGTCTTGGAGAGTTTGCTGTTATTCCCATCCTTTCCAGCATACTTCTGGAACACAGCAATCAGGGACTCAATGCACCGCTCAGTCTCTGTAGGGCTGGACATTTTTGCTTTGGAGAAAAAAAAATGTAGAAATCAGATAGGAACTAGATACAAAAGACTGGATACTGGAACACGCCAGAGCGTCTCATCTTGTTTTGGATCCAAGTGGTTTACTAGAAAGGTCATCTTTCAGGGGGTCCAAGATGGCTGTAAGAAGTCACAGAAAGTTTTGGATGTTGAAAAGCAGCCAGGAACCATTGATTTTACTGTGAAGCTACTGAGGAAAGAGAAGGAAACCAATGTGGTAACACCATCCTTAGGACATCATCCTCTCTGCAGGCCTTGGCTTTTGTCCTTCCACTTCGAGGTGCCACTAATTCCCATAGGAATGGCAAATGGAACGTCTCATTTCAGAACTGAACTATAGCCGTGGTGATACCAGGAGGTTCAAATCCTTTGGGATACTCTGCTTTCCTCATAGTGGAAAGCTACATGGAGGCTCTCACTGGGCTAAGTAAACTCCGGACAGCAGGGACCTGGGGCCCAGAGTGAGCTGATGGGCTCCCCCTGGTGGATAAGAGCAGCAGCTGCAGGCTTTCTGGGACCGTGCAGACCACACCCTTATCTCTAGGCATTAACAAGGATTTGTTTGGATTTCAATGTTTGCAACTCAGCATTTAGCCTATAATTTGCCTTTAGGGTAGACTTCCCAAACATAGAGCTGTGGGCTTTTGTGCCCCTTACTTAACATGTGCTGACCTGTACAGCTCTGGCCTTCCTTCCTACAGTTGGCCTTTCCCCATCTTAACCCCAGGGGCTTGCCAGGATGCAGGTTGTGGCTGCCCCTGGGATCTTGGAGCATTTCAAGCCCTGAACTATCTGGAGGTAGAGCCTTTCTCAGTTACCACAATGTTGGGGAGTTCCCTCTCCCACAAAAGGAACTTATTAACAAAAATGTTGGTAGGTGGAGGGCTTGGAGGAAAACCAAAATACCACAGCCTAGGAACAGACATGTTTGCACAACAGGCTCTCCTTATCAGGACCAAAATCTCAGTCCTACTAGCTGAGGCTGAGGGGAAGGTCGCAGGGAGAGCTCACCAGAGAGGGGGACAGGTTCCAGCTAAGAGGACTAGATCTGTGGCCATTTTCTATCCCTACAGCTGCTTCTGTCACCTTACCTTGCAGAAATCAGAGTACTCTGATTTTTTCTTTTCTTTTTATTGGTACCGGGGATCGAACTCACGACCACCTGCTTGCAAGGCAGGTGCTTATGCCGCTGAGGTAAATCCCCAGTCCTTTTGGGTCTTACTCTGCAGTTCAGGCTGGCCTTGAACTCACTTTGTAGCCCAGGCTGGTCTCAAACTTGCAAAGATCTTCCTGCTTCAGCCTCCCAAGTGCTGGGATTACAGGAGTGTGCCAGTACCCTGGGGTTAGATTTTGAAATTTCAAAGGGCCTTTCTGACCCCCAACCATGTTGGTCTTGATTGTAGTTTAGGCAGTATTTTTTGTCTTGAAAAATGTTGCTTTCACTCACATGAGTAAATATCACATTGTCTCTCTAGTGTAAAAAATAATAAAAACTGACAGAATAATGGGATCCAAAAAGTATAATAGATACTGTGAAAGTGAAAGGGAAGAAAAGTGCTTTAAAGAGTATAAGGGTATGTATGGTAAGATAGATGACCATATTACTGAATCTCTTGGAAGTTGAACTGAAGGATTGGCACTGTCAGTGTTTGAGTATCTAGCCACTATTTATGCTTTGATTTTGTGACTTTGGCAACTATTTTTTAAGACGACAATGACTAATGTATCAACTAGTGATTCTATGATGATAATTTTTTTTGAATTCAATATTCTAACCCTTTTCTGTTTTTCTATTTTCTTTAATTTTATTTGAAAAAGAGAACGATATGCAATATAACAACCATTGTTAAATTTCTTTCATTCCGTTTTGAAGTCCTGTATTGCTATTTGTTTTGAGTTTGCTGAGTTTATGACTTTTGCTTTGTCTTTCTTTTGACTTTTCTTTTTTAAATAAAAAAAGAAAAATGTTGCTTTTAAATACAAGGAGAAAATGTAAACATCTCTGCATTTCCTGCCCCTTAGCAGTAATTCCCTAAAGCAAAAGAAACGCGATTATCAAATTACAAAAATGGAATTCCAGAATTGGTAGAGCCCAAGGGGACTTCCGAGATGGGTCCTGAGGAGGCCCAGAGCTTTGTTCTTGGTATGGCAGCGGCTGAAGGAAAGGAGAACCACCGCTCTCCACCCTCGGAGTTTTACTGGGGGGCTGTGACGGCAAGGAAAAAAGTGCGGTGAACAAGATACTGTGGAAGAATTTTTTGAAAGACTCAACATTTGAGAAAAGAAAAAAAAAAAGGACTAAAAAAAAGTTTTCTCTTACCCCCCCCCCCCCAACCTTGGTCGCAACCACCTCCCTCAGGAAGTCGTATTTCTGCACCACAGCTGGTGCCACGCCTGCCTCAACTGCAGTCTGACCCATTCCCTTTTTGGACAGGAAGGAGAAGAGGGAAAAATGTGGGAGGGTGGTACTGATAAGTTACCCGGAGACTGACAAGCAGTTTTACCTCCCGGTAAAGAGACAGCTGGTGAATATTCTGGACCCCCGAGGTGCATGTGTCTCCCGTCAGTCTGCTTCCGCGGCCAGGCGGCACAGGCCGGCCTGCAGGAGCCACAGGGCGTGGCGCTGCCTATAGAACTTTCCTACGGGCGCCCAAGCCCCGCACTCATAGAACTCGTCTCAGCTTTGCGGGACCAGAAACCCGATCCGGCCCCCACTTAACAGAAGTGGAAGTAAATTAATGGAAAGCAGGCAGAGCTCAACGTGGCCGCGACAGCAGCAGGAGAGAGCAACAGGGTAGAGCAGCAGTGGGGAGCAGTAGGGACGGCGCCAGCGCCCCGCAGCGGGAACAGGAAGGCCGGAGGGGTGGGCGAGGCCCGGCCCTTGCTCCTCGCCTTCCCGGCAGCTCCGCCCTTGGCCTTAGGCCCATCGCTCGCTGAAACTCTGGCTTCCCCAGCACTCAGGCGCCCAGGTTTGAAAGTTCTCTTCCTGGTCCTACGGGGCCCCTTGAAACGCCCCCCTCAAGTCCGGCCTGGCTTCCTTTCCTTTGGGACCCCAGCCTCGCCCGCGCAGTGAGGGTGCGCGGCGGGGCGAGGGGTGCAGGGGGACCGAAGGGACCGCCCTGCCCCTGCCGCCCGGCCGCCGCCCCTAGGCCGGGGGCCACAGGTGTAACTCTGGGCTGCTGCTTTGGGTCCCCGCTCCCCTGCTCGCCTTTTCCTGACCCGCTTCCGGCCACGTCCACCCAGGTATCGGCGACAACGCCTGGGGCACGGCCCGCCGCCCTCCCCCTTCACTGAGGCGGGAAGGGAAGCTGGGAAGCCGACTTACCGAGCAGGTCGGAGCGGAGCGCGGCGGAGACTGGAGCGCGGGGCTGCGGCAGAGCGGACTGGCTGGCGCGGGCCCTGCCTGGCCCGCCACGCCCGCCGCGGCCCCGCCTGCTCCAGCCCACCCCGCTTGCTCAAGCCGGGACCAGCCCACCCCGCCCGCAGGTCCCGGCGTGCCCGCCTCGGTCTTCTCCGCCAAGCGCACAATTTGGCCTTAAAACTCACGTACAGCCCTTGTGCTCTCCGGGAGGGAACGCTTTTTCACTCTTTCCTTGTCCTGTGAACTTAACACTTTAAATCTCAGAGTTGCGAAAAGCGATCTGCAGGGCCTGTCAGGGCCCCCAGGTCTTGCTGTGTACCAGCACGGTAAATGTTTAATTTAAAAACATTCATTGCGGTAAAAGACACATTGCCATTAACTTCACAAACGCTACTCCACCTCGCTTTGAACACACCTGTCAAATGGTTCTTGCTATTTTCGGGACTGGAACTTGAAGATCTGTTTCGTTTTTTTTTTTTTTTTTTTTTTTTTTAGGTAGGATTTCATCCTGTGGTTCCGCTGGCCTTGAAGTCACTTTGTAGCCCAGGCTGGCCTTGAATTGGCTTCAGTCCTCCTGCCTCAATCTCCTGAGTGCTGGGATTACAGGTGTACGCCACCTCATCCAGTTTCCTAATTACCTTTATGAGTGTGATAAAAAATATGGTGAATGCTGCAGGCTCACAAAATCTAGCATGTCTTCATCTTTTTTTTTTTTTTTTTTTTTTTTTTTTTTTTTTGAGACAAGGTCTTCCTAGGTAGCACAGGTTGGCCTTGAGCTCACGGTGATCCTCTTGCCTCCGCTTTCTGAATGCCAAGATTATAGGTATGTGCCACCCGCTTATCTCATGCATCTTTCTTGTTTTTTGAGTTAGAGTCTCCCTTCTCACTGTGCAGTGCAGGCTGGCTTGAACTCACACATATAACCTAGGCTGGTCTAGAATTTACAGTAATCCTCCTGACTCAGCCTCTTGAGTATTGGGATTACAGGCATGCATCACCATGCCTGGCTCCTCAACCATTTTATTCATAGGATCTAGCATCTGGCACTGTGTGACTTCTGGTTCTTCCCCAAAACTAAAATGATCATGAAAGGTAAACGTTTTGAATCAGTTCAAGACGTTGATGTAGCGAGAACAGTGAAGTTAAAAGTTTATGAAAGAGGCCTTCCAGAACTGCTCCAGAGGGTGGCATGAAGGATGGGAGAAGTATTTTTGTGTGTGGGTGGTGGGAGGGCGGGGGCTTGGGGTAATGACAATTTTTCTTTTACTGTAATAAATTTTAAAAATTTAAATGCTGAAATTTTCAGTCATAAGTGTATGTGCTCACTCTGCACATTCATGTTAGAAAAGTAGAAAGTGTTATACACTAACAAAAAGAGCTTCCTTATGTTTGTATTAGTTTGCCAATGCCCAAGTTATATGACCAAATTACTTGTTAATTCCCTTTGCAAACACAACTATTTTCTATAATGGGATGGATACCTTGGGGCACCGACCACATTGTTATAAAATAGCTGTAGCTCTGTCATACTGTTCTGTATGCTCCATCTTCCCGGATGACCTAACTGATATGTTAACCATTGCTCCCCTCTGCAAAGGACAGATGTTATCTAAAATTAAGTGCTAAAATTAGTTGACAAAGGATTGTAAATTCTTGCGAGACCTCTCTGTCCTCTGCAAAGGGAAACAAAGGTCTTCCCCATTCCTTAGCTGATCAAGAATTTCCTCATTTCCTGATCCACATCCATAAACCCCTTTCTTGTAATTGCTCTTTCTACAAAAGTCTGTGAAAAGTTTTAAGCGAGTTACACAGCTTTGTGAACTCCTACTGCACTGTGTTCCTGGTACCAGGTTAAATAAAAGCGCCCCTTTTTCTTAAAAAACATGTCTTGCCCCATTTTTGGACACCATTTTGGGGGCTTGTTTTTGGAGTGCAAGAGAAAGATCCATTTTAAAAACAAGGAAGAGGGGGCTGAGGATATAGCTCAGGGGCACAAGTGCTTGCCTGAATTTGATTCCTGGTACCAAAGGGAAAAAAACAAACAAAAAAAACCTCCCACCAAAACCAAAAACAAAAAAACCAAGAAACAAGGTAGAGAGTAAAAGCAGAATAGGTACTAGTCACAGAGCAGGTCCCCAGGAGCCAGGGCTATCTCTTTCTCCCCACTGGAGATAATTAATAAGCAGTAGTGACCATTGCCGGGTGGATTGCCATAGGATTGTTGGTGGTTACTGCCAAGGGATTATTGCCACTTTTTCCTTAAACTTTAAACTGATAACAGCTGAAAAGCAAAAAACTGAAACTTCAAACCCAAAAAAGCAACTGCAAGTAAAAGTCACCCTGTGTTAGTAAGACATTTGTCTTTGTGTTTGCAATGGAGTTGGGAATTTTACTTATTTGCTTTTATTTTTTTGGTACCGGGGATCAAGCTAACGACTTTGTACTTGTCAGGCAGGCGCTTATGCTGCTGAGCTAAATCTCTGGCCCAGGGGTTTCACTAAGAACTAGAACTTCTGGCCACTAATCCTGGTTCTATAGCTTTGTTGTAAAACTTTTTGATAAGACTCCTTGCTGTGCCTTCTGAGGTTCCATTTTTTCATCTGTTAAGGTTGAGTTTGTCTTTCCTATTTCATAACATTCTTCTGGCTCTCCGCTAAAATGATGGTTTTGAGGAAGAGGGCTTCAAATCCTTCAGAGTAGATGGAGACTGGAGGGACTGGGCTGCGGGCATTCTGGTGTCTGTTCTTGCCCTGTTCACTCACTGAGCACATGGAGCCAAATCTTCATCTCTGTGTTCAGCCTCTCTAGACCCACATTTTCTGTCACTTGTTTGGGAAATTGAAAGCCCCCTCTGTGCATCAGACTCAGTAACTCAAGAACATTTCATTTTCCCTAAACAAGTATGTCTCTCTCTAGCTTCCCTTTCCCTGCCAGGGGTGCTGTGCTCCTCCGTTTTTGTGCTAGGGACTTGAATGCTTTCTTACTCGCACTTCTTATCAAATACTAAGTGATGCATTGTAGCTTCCACTGTTTTAGTTTAATTTTCATTCCCTCTTTTCACTTATTTTCTATCTATTTCCTTGCCCTTCAATGTGTTCTGCTGCCGGTTAAAAACACATTTTCCAGAGCTGGGGATTTAGCTCAGTGGCATAAGGGCCTGTGTTGGGCGCAGGCGCTCAACATACCATACCCCACCCGGGACTAAGGACCACGCCAGCTTCCGCAATGCGCTACGTCCCTCCTTAAATTAGCCAACCCGTGTGCACTTCGTGCTCACTCCATACTCTGTGGCAACTCCTGATTGGCCACAGCTGGATATAGTAGCCGGAGCCTACATCCCATTCCCGCCCTGCTTCCTTGTGGTAGCCTGTGATTGGTCACGGCCGAATATATAAACCAGAGCCCGCCTAAATAAACTAGCAGTTAACTGTCGTCCACAAAAGCGTCTCCTGTCTCCTGTTTCATTGGAGCTGCGCCGGTCAACTGGTGGCCCGTACGGGGAGCCCGGAGCACTGAGACCCTCTCTCCGACAGTACGAGGAGCGCTGAGACCCTCTTTCCGATGGAACAGAGACGTTAACAGGTAAAACCGTCAAGCGCCGATAGCGGGGGCTACTTGGCGGGCGGGGGCTGACAGGTTAAACTGCTCAACGTTGGTAGCGGGGGCTACGCAACAGGCAGCGGGGGCTGCAGGGCCGGATAGCGGGGGCTATCGGGCAACCTTGAGCGGACGCGTCGCAAGGATCAGGAACTCGTAAAGAGAGTTCTGGGGGCCGTAAAGAGGCCGGTTTTGGGGGCACCGTAAAGGGGTGCGGGGACTAAGCTGTCCCTGTACAAAAAAAAAAAAAAAAAAAAAAAAAAGGAAAAAGAAAAAAATAAAATAAAATAAAAATAAAAAGAAACTCTTGAAATTCCGGTTAACATGGGTAACACGGCTACTCAGCCACTGTCAGTCGCCTTAAGCGACTTACTGAGAGAAAAGGGATTACAAATGAAACAAGAACAAATTCAAAACTTCCTCGATCAGGTCGATAAGGTAGCACCTTGGTTTGGTCCCATGGGGTCCATTACCATCCCCAGCTGGGATAAATTAGGGAGAGATCTTGACTTTGCAGCAGAAAATGGTCTCCTGGAGCCAGGAGTCAGACCCCTTTGGCCAGTGGTGAGAAGCTGCCTTGCAGACACCTCTTGTCGTGACCATATAAGGGCTGGCGCCATGGCGCTTGATTACCATCAGGCAGAATCCTCCCGCGAGCAATCTCGTGAGTCCAGTGCTGCAGGCAAGGTGACCCCACCCAACTCAGAAACAAAGGACTCGTCAGATAATGAGGGGGAGGAAGAAGTATACAAAATGGTGGATGCAGACACCACCAAAAGAGGGGAAGTCACACACACGCAGTCGAGAGGGCCTTACTCTGAGGCCATAAATGAGCTGCAATGCAGGATTTCTCAGAGTAAATGGGTCAATGAAAGTGAGTACGGGATCCCAGGGCCACCCCGTATAAGACCTACAGCTCTACCTCCCGACCCGCCAGATTATCATGCTCACCAGAGACCCTGCCATCAGCTATGTAGCTGTCCGCAACGGGTCCAGACGTCCCCTGGGACATTCCAGGAAGACCTTTGGCATCAAGTCAAAAGAGAGGACCCAGGAGGCCTGGGCCATTTTCTCCAGGCTTTTCCGGTTGCTGTAGATGCTCAGGGAAACAGAGCCCACCTGCCTATAGATATGAAGGCAATAAAGCATCTTAAGGAGGCCAGCACCATGTACGGTGTTAATGGGGCGTATACCCTGTCCCTAGTAGAAGCCATGGCAGGAAATGCCATGACACCTGCTGATTGGGCCAGTTTGTGCAAAGCAGTGCTCAGCCCAGGCCAATATCTTGATTGGAAAGCTTGGAATGTTGAACTTGCCACAGAACAGGCCCAAGCTAATGTCCAGAACAATCAGGCCGCCTGGAACGTAAATATGTTATTAGGACAAGGGCAGTATCTCAATAACCAGCTGATATTTCCACAAGAGGTGTATGCACAGATAAATAGAATAGCCATACAAGCATGGAAACGGGTCTCGGCTAGGGAAGAAGTCTCAGGCCACTTGACAAAAATTTTGCAGGGCCCGAGCGAGCCTTTTTCAGATTTTGTGGCCCGCATGATGGAGGCAGCAGGGAGAATTTTTGGGGACGCGGAGACAGCCATGCCACTCATTAAGCAGCTCACAGCTGCTCTGGGTCAGCACCAGGTGTAGTTTGTTAACTTGGCAGGAGTCGGGGCTTGCCATTGTTGACGGCCCTACCACGAGACAAAGCAGAAGCCGCATCCAAACTTATTCAAGAGCAATTAAAGTTAGGCCATATCAAACCCTCAAGTCTATTCTGTTTAAACAAAAGGAGGGTATTGCCCAGGGCATGACACCTAGGGCCAGACTAAATCTCGCCCTCTTCACTTACAATTTTGTAAACATCAACCCACAAGGATCCACGCCAGCACAGCTACATGCCAACCCTGTCGCACCCAAACATGGTTGGGTACGCTGGAAAGACCTCCTGCATGGGGTGTGGAGAGGCCCCAGCCCAGTACTTAGTTGGGCGAGAGGGGCGGTCTGTGTCTTCCCGCAGGAAGAAGGCAGCGAACCTGTCTGGGTCCCGGAACGCCTGATACGTCCCTGCAAACCACCAGACCCTGACCCAGAGGAAACGTCAACCACAGAACAGGGGAACCAACAGGAGCCTCACAAGCCAGACCAAGCAAGTATACCCACAACTCCCATTAACCATGGCACCTTGGCCAACTCCCCTGGTTAGTAGCCTCCTTTTCCCTTCCTTCTTGCATCTCGTACGGTCCTTGCAGCCAGTGACTTTTCTAAATTGCTCCACCGCAACCTGTTATATGTTATAATGTTGGGATAACAGTACACTTTCAGCTGTTGTTATGCAGGTACTCCAGTTCGCACCGATTCCAGTTATGGCGGACTCAGACGAGTTTCCTGTGATCCAGCTCGGGCCAACTCTCCAATTGGCTTTCATAAAGGAATGGGCAGGAACAGGGGCTCTGGCTACCATAACTACACTTGCCGCATTCGGCAGTCTACTTCTGCTCTGTCGGATTCGCAGACAAAGGAATAGGGACAAAGTATCAAACAAGCATTGCTGATCATGGAATCTGGTCAAAGCCCGGCAGCATGGCTCGCCATGCTGTGACGCAGGTGTGGAGCAAAGCATCGCAGGGGGTGTCGTCCTTGGCCAGGAGACACCCCGGTCCCCATGTCGGTGAGCATGTGGGTTGGGCTCATAAAACAGATTTCCCGCCCCCTCCAAAAGAGCACCAACGAGTAGTGAGGCACTGTCATGACTGCAGCGTGACACCTCACGAGGGGCACCGACCTCTGGAGACCCTGCGTCAGTTATAAAGAAAGGGGGAGATGTTGGGCGCAGGCGCTCAACATACCATACCCCACCCGGGACTAAGGACCACGCCAGCTTCTGCAATGCACTACGTCCCTCTTTAAATTAGCCAACCCGTGCGCACTTCGTGCTCACTCCGTACTCTGTGGCAACTCCTGATTGGCCACAGCTGGATATAGTAGCCGGAGCCTACATCCCATTCCCGCCCTGCTTCCTTGTGGCAGCCTGTGATTGGTCACGGCCGAATATATAAACCAGAGCCCGCCTAAATAAACTAGCAGTTAACTGTCGTCCACAAAAGCGTCTCCTGTGTCCTGTTCATTGGAGCTGCACCGGTCAGGCCTGCTCAGCAGATGCCAGGTCATGAGGTCAATCCCAGTACCAGAAAAAAAAAAACCACATTTTCCTGCCAGGTGTGGTGGCACGCTCCATAGCAAGACCCTGTCTCAAAAAGACACAAACAAACAACCCCCCCTACCTCGACATTTTCCTAATGTGCAGGCCTGATCAGTGGTTTACTTCAAAATAAAACAACAAAACAAACACAGTGGCCTTTATATAAAATCCAGGCTTCTTAATTTCCATGGGCTCTGAATAACCACTGTAACCTTAATTAACTGAATGAAATTTCAATTTATTCATTCAACATGTATTTGGGACTTTTTTTTTTTTTGATCTGGGGATTTTTTTTTGATCTGAGGGCCTTCATACTGAGCTACTTTCCCAGTTCTTTTATTTGTTTATTTACTTTTAATTTTAAGGATCTCACTAAGTAGCTGAGTTGCCTAGACTTGGCTTGAATTTGAAATCCTCAGGTTTCAGGCTCCCAGAGTGCTGGGATTACAGGTATGTGTCATCATGCTAGACTTTTGGAAACCCATGTGGCAAGCCCAGCACTGGTCACTATAGATACAAATGTGAGTGAGAGATATAGCACCTGCTTTCTAGGAAGTCTGTAGATGGAGTTTAGACCTATCTTGGTTATGAGAGAACAGCCCATGGATAGCTACTAGGAATCTTTAATACCCTAGATTTTTATATGTGAAAATTTGTATATATATAAGAATCCCCCCTAGGGGGGATGATTCATATCTTTCATCTGATTTTTAGAAAAATCTAAAATCAGATAATACTAAAGAATTATTACTTTAAATTTCTCTAGGCTCAATCAACCTTCCAAGCCCTACTACTTTTATTTATTTATTTTTTTATCGGTACCGGGGATCAAACTCACAACTGCCTGCTTGCAAGGCAGGTGCTTATGCCCTTGGCCCTACTACTTTTAAAGAGAAAACATTTCACTTGTAGTCTCTGTTGAAGGGGCAATCCCGGTGGCCACATTTTCAATGATTAGACCTTGTGCCTTTTGTCACATCTGCATGTTTTGCTGCTAGCTCTCCGTTCAGACTGTCCATGCATAGGATGAGTGGATGTTTATATATGACATGACATGGAAAGAGGAGCTGGAGTTGATCAGTCTCATGCTGTTGGGAAGCTGAAATTAGTGACTCGTAGAGAATTAGGGATTTAGAAGATCTGAATGAGTCTTTGCATAAAGAGAACCCACAAGAAGACACCAAGACACCATAAGTGGAAGCTATGAAATCTGGAAGAAATACATGGAATAAGGCCAGCTGCTAACTAGAAATAAAAGAGATGAGTTGGTCATTAGCTCAGTTGTGTAAGTGGGGGAGCTCTGAGTGAGGAGTCCCTCATAATGTATGTTTTTGTTCTTCCTGAACTAAGTTAATTAGTTTTTCCTGAATTTCTATAGGACATTTAATCTTTCAATAACTCATTATCCATGAGGTGGTTTGAATGAACGCTTGGAAAATAAATAAACCAAATAAGCAAGAACTGGTGGGCCTTGTGTGTGGGGCCTAGGAAGAGAAAAGACAGACAATGCTTCCCGTGAGCCCACCAGCGCATGGGCTGAGAATCACCAACCTTCCCCCAACCATTCCCCCTAAGCAACCGGCTGAGTTGATAGCAACTGAGTTACAAAAGGCAACTGAAAGTTTATATTGTATGTTTGACTTTGCAGTCCTGGGGCCTGCGGTTTGAGCATCTATAGGGTGGATAACATTACGCAATACAGCAATTATGGGGGATTTCCTTCTATCTTGTTTTTGAAATCCAATATTGTTCTCGCTGCTTTTTTCTTTGTTCTGATTGTTTTGCTTTATTTGGTTTTCTGTTTTGGCTAGTTTTATTCTATTTTGTTTTGGTTTGATTTTGCGATATTTGATGGGATGGACAAATATTGTGTAGATAACAAGTTATATACTATGGTAACCATTGTTTTGCTACTGTTATGCTACTTTGAAGTTCTGTGACAGCTTTGTTTTGATTCGATTTATTCTGTTTTGTTTTTTTGGGTTTTATTATCTTTAAAATAAAAAGAAAGCAAGAACTGATCAGAATGAAGCTGGGATCAGGCCTGCTGAGTAGACTGCCCTGGTGGTCTCACTCCAGATTCATATAGAAGAGGCTTCATTAGCAGATTATCAGTCACAGGAGGGAGAGTTCAGGAAAGTAGCATGGAGAGGTAACTTTTGCAAAGTAGATAAGCAATGAGTCAAACTGAAGGATTAATACAGGCAAGGAGCTGAGGCCGAGTGAGAGCTTGTAAATTGATAGCTGGAAACAAAAATGAGGTACCGAAGAAGGAAAGAGATGTTCAAGAAGTAAATGTGGGGATTTCTGCAGTCCAGGGGAATTCTTATATGCAACTTGATCACGGTAGGTTTGGCTAATATTTTCAGGTGGGTACAACACAGTGTACAAGTGTAATGACAGGGCTGTGACCTGGGCACACTGACGGTGTTTGGGAGGTAATGATAGGCTTATTCTGAGGTGAGTAGAGAAAGTGGTTTATGAGTTGGGCACTGAAGGATGGATCAGAGGTCACTCGTGGAGGGTCACAGTCCTGAAGTCAGGCAATATGACAGCATTAGCAGCTGCTAGACTGGGATTCAAATCCCAGTGCCACAATGTATTAGCCAGTCCATCATTTAAACACTTTTTTTTTTAACCTGTAAGATGGAGAAAATAGTTGCATGGATTACATCTTAACTCATGCAGAATATTTAGGATTTAAGGTAATGGGTTCAAAGGAAGTTTTACACATTGGTTTGTGCAAAAGCAAGAGGGGATGAAATGCAGTGTATGCTCTCAGCTCATGCAGGTAGTTCAAGGGTACTGGACTCTGATAGAATTTTGGCGCGGCTAAAAAGATAAGAAGTATGAAATACAAATGACCTTTATTTTAAGAATGTGGGGAGAGACCCCCTAACCCTCTGGGGTCTGGCATTGTCTCTGGGGGCTGGCATTCTCTCTGTCGGACACATGGAGTGGGGACATACATGTAGCTTAGGTTTGGGGTGGTGCCTAAGGGGCATTAGTGATGCACAGGTAGCCCATTGGTGTTCATTTCGTGCCACAGGTAAATTCCTAGGGGCGAGGAAGATAACTTCAAGATAGAGCCTCTTGGTTCTGCCTCCAAAGCTTTACTGGCTACAGTGTCTGGCCTAGGGCAAGATTCTTTCAGACTCCAGAGGATGGGATGATGGTCAATGGGGGTAGAAGCTGTGAGACATGAAACTGGAAAGCCCAGGGTTGCATCATTAGGGGCTCTGCCTGGATATTTGGGTTGTAACATTGGCTCTTTACCATTACCAAGAGCCAATGAAGGTTTTTAAGGAGTGTGACATGATCCTCTTCACTTTTGGAAGTGCAAAAAATGTACTACAGTAGAGAGAGGCTAGAGGTAAAGAACATCGTAGGATACTGTTGTTGTAACAAAGGTATGTTGGTCATGATGATGGGGAGAGAAACTTTCCCAGTGTTCAGATGGTAAAACAACCTAGCAAGGTCACTGTTTGAATATGAGAGGTTAGAGAAAAGAAGGCATCAAGAGTGACTTCTAGGACTTTACCTTGCTGACCAGGCAGGTTGCAGTACTATCCCAAGATGGAGAATGCAAACTGAGTAACATTTTTGGGGATGCTTACAGCAATGTTGTGGTTTAATATGGGTCATAATGAGTCTGAGGGAAGTGGGACAATCTGGTGCAGAAGGAATTAGGCATGGCCTGTATTTGTCTCATGTTCTCCTGTAGCTCCTGTATCATCATTCTTACCATGCTTTACTACCATTTTCTCCTTATCTGATTTGTTTTTCTTATTAAACTTCAAGCTTCTTGAGGATGGAGATGATGCTTTGATCATTGCAGTGTTCCTAGTATTCAGCCAGTCATGCAGCAGTTGTATGTGGAGGGAGTGTGCAGAGTGTCTAAGCACTGGGATGGTAGTGGTTAAAAAGCCAGGCACAGTCTGTGTTCTAGTGGTACACAACCTAGCTCAACCAAGGTTTACAAACAACATTTAAAGAGCAAGAGGAGGAAAATGATATTGCACAGAAAAAAGAAGAGAAATAATCAGGAAGCAAAAGGAGTGTTCTTTGGTGTCACCAGAGTCTATGAAGAGAGATTTCTAAAGTGGAGGGAGAGAGTGACAAAGTAACAGTCTATAGAGAAACAGCTGTGGGAAAGGCTGATACAGGTCCACTGGATTGGCCAGCTATATCCTTGGGGACATTGGCCAGGGCACTGGTAGCAGAGGATAGGGAGAAAGATAGATGGCAGTGGATTAAAGAAAGAGTTGGAGATGCAGAGTTGGGGGGGGGGGTAGATTACTCATTTGAAACAAAAGGAGGAGAGATGGAGTGCTTGCTGAAGGTGACATAGGCCCAAGGGAGAATTTACAAACACAAAAAATGTTCAAGTACACTTACAAGCTGTGGAGAAGGAGTTGTCAGAATGAATGAGAAGTCAAATGTAGAGGACTGAACAGATATAAACAATGGAGCAAAATCCTGGTGCACCTGTGGGGGCTGGAGCAGAGGCAGAAGAAGAGCAGCAGGAGGCTGGAGGCTGGAGAGCGCGCGCCTGTGGATTTGGAGGACTGCTGAGGTGCCTTACTCAGAGCCTGGCTGAGGCCATGGAGTGGAAGGTGAGGCCCTGTGGGAGCACAGGCACTGAGCAGGGACTGGAGGGTTCTGTGTCTCTTAGAACAAAGGTGCTCATTCACAATGGCTGAGTGGCATAAAAGCTTGGATAGGAAGCTATTGTTTGTGGTAATTACAGTCTTATGGTTGCATGACTGTGTGACTGTTTGTCTTTTTTTAGTTATACTTAGTTGCTTACCTATTGGACCCAAAGGAGAGGGTTGAGGAATGGTTTTGGGCTATGGTACAGAAGGGCCTGACCAAAGGACAAGGAGGTGAAGGTGTTCAGGGGA